GGCGCACTGGACGTCAATAGGTTAATCTATTCAAGACTTGAAATGATGAATTTGACAGTATCCCTTATTACCCCCAAGATCTGATTCCCACTAACCATCCTTTTAAACCCTGAGTGACCAAGACAGAATTTCTCCTTACAATATCTATACAATACCAAGCAGACAAGAGCTGAGAATGAGGAAAAATATCAACAAGGGATTAGTTGATCCAGTATCAAATTCCAAATTCTTCTAACATGATAAGATACGTATGATGCACAATCCTCGCAGTAGAGAGCACTATTTATGCAATAGCAAAAAATTGCATAAATCCTTTCCAATTCTATATAATTATAGTAGAATTGTATACTATATAATTATACAATTCTACTATATATAAGAATTGTATATATAGTAGGTGGAAAGGAGAATTACTAAATAAATGAGAACAAGGAAGTGAAAGAGTTAAATTTGGTGTTAGTTATAAATAACAATTTCTATCTGATAAGTTTGAGTGTTCTCATTACCTGTTTGCTGGACATTGTATAGATATTATAGGGATATAATTTGCATGTAAATCACTCCAGGGAGTTAAAAAGGTTAAATAAATAGCAATTTTACATTTATTGTCTTTTGTTAATCCAGGAATGATCTATGGACAATTCAAAGTCTGTAACTATGATGCATGCTACTATTGTTTTGAATGTCATGAAAATGAAGAACATGTCATACCTGCGAGGGTCTTTCACAACTGGGATCTACGTAAACACCAAGTTGCTAAACAGTGCAAGTTGTTCCTGATGCACATAGAAGAGGATCCTTTGTTTAATATTGATGAAACCAATCCCACGTTGTACAATGTTATCAAGGAGTTGCATGAAATTAAGGTTGGTGTTGAAAATCATCATGGCATCGAAAAAATGCCCAGTTAGTTCTCAACATGTTGAGATGCCATTTACTTAATATTGACTGAGCGGGAAGGCTGGACAGGAAAATATTTGACCTGAGGTCATGATGCACGTACATCAGGAGCAAGAGCCAAATATATTTTAGTCTAACCCATCTTAACTCAGTCAATAAACATTTTATCTTATATTACCCCTGACTAAGTTTTGAATAATTCCAAATAGTTTGTGTGAACTAAGATAGGATGCACTAGACCAGTGTGCACTGGAAAACTACAGAAAAAGATTCTACAATAAAAGATTTCTCCTTTATTTTTTTCAAGACAAGCTCACTGTTGTCACTTGTTTTTGCAACAACAGCAAACAGTGTGGCCGTACATATGCACTAGAACTGGACAGCTATTCCCACACCGGCTCACATCAACCTGTCTTTTCCTACATACATCAGTTTTCACTATGGTTTTCTATGGGATTATGTTGGTATTGTCCCTGTTTTCTGTTGTGGAAGTGCTGAGTCTGCTTATGAAGATTATTCATTCTGCAAAAGTTTCAAAAACATCTGCACATACAATTCAGAGCCACCTCAATATTTTCATAATTTGATTAATAAAAGTAATTGTGGTAAAGAAAAGAAATCAGTTTGATCAAACCACTACACTACACACTCAGATATTTTGGCCTTTGCTTGTAATTTTACTTTTCCTTTTAATTAGAATGTTTACACATCATTCACCTACACTATGAAATCAAAACCCATGAAAATCTTGTGAAATTATTCATGGTAAATTAACAGATTTTTCACAGGATTTTCATCATTAAATAAATGGCATTTTCTTGGTCTCAGAGCCATGAAAAAGACATGAAAAACCTGTGAAAATTTTAATATTCACAACCCATGAAATATTGTGTAAGGTGACCTAGAAGCCATGAAATACCCATGAAAATGTCATTTCATGGCCTTTTCAAACGTACTAAAAACCCATGAATTTTCATGTCAAAAAAATGCATGGTGTTAAAATTCACTAGTTATAGTAAATCATGACGTACAAATATCCTGTGAAGATGTAAAAAATTCATTGACGATGAAAATTTTCGGTGAATTTTCACGGCCTCTCCATGGGCAGCAGTTTCATGGCACATGAAAGTTAATTGCGAATCAGTTTTCATGGGGTTCTTGGGAATATGCAAGCACCATGAATTCCTGGGAAACCCCATGAATTTGGAATGAAAAAGTCTTCTCTTTATTTGGATGAGTGAAAATAATTTTTTTCCTTAATTTCATTTTTTTAGGATTAAGAAGCACAGTAAGTTATCCTAAGATACAATTATTATAAAAGTATCATAATGATTATGATAGAAGACACTTTTGAAAACCAAGTTAGACTGATCTTAGAGTCATTTTTTCATTCACAGGTATTAAGGTCACAGCTAAAGCATTTAAAAGGCTTCATTTTTACTTGTAAAGATCAAATAGCAGAGGATGTGAGGAGGAGAATTTGGCCTCGGGAATACCTTTGGGATGATATCCATCAGTATTCCTTACTGGTCAGTAGCAACCTTTTAATTTGACCAAACACTGAAACCTCCCTTTAAGAGCCATGTTGGGGACACAGAGGAGAGGGAAAATTCTCACCTGACATGTGTTTTTGGAGGGGTAGAAAATTTTTATCTTTTGAAGTATGTAAAATTAATTATCAGTTCTAAGAAATGTACCAGTACAATGTGTTTTTGTCATGAAAAAAAAAAAGGCAAAAACTGATGCGCAGAGGAAAATTGTTAGTAAGACAAAGCAAGTAAGACACATTGAGTCTATCAGATGGGCAAACAATTACTTCAAGTGTTGTAGACATTAATTTTATTTTCTCTTTGCAAACAAAAGCTGTCAAAGTTTAAATGCAGGAGTGTTGAGTCACATTTTTCTAAATCATTTGTTGAT